TGGGCTGGCCCTGGGTGGCTGGCTGGCTGAGGGGACTGGGACCAGAGGCAGGCGCGTGGAGCAGCCAGACCATCTACTGCCCTGGTGCAGCTGAGGGAACTGGGTGCTGCCATCTTTGAGGACATGGCAGTCAATTAGCAAATTCCCTCCTTATTGGCAGTGGGTGCTGCCATCTTTGTGAGGGAGCGATGGTCAATTAGCATATTCTCTCTTTATTACATAGGATTTTTATTGTATACTTATTCAATATTACACAATTGGTATTTTTATTTCCTTTGGAAGTAATAGCAGTATATAAAATGTTAATTTATTGTATGGCTATAAAGAGTAGGGTAGTGAATTTTGAAAACTAGTAAAGTTATGAGTCATCTTGATAAGATGCTGTCTACAAAAGAACCAAAATTAGTATGAAAGGGGCTCTGTTGGTTTAATTATTATTGTTATTTATTTTTTATATTTTATTGATTTCTTACAGAGAGAAAGAGAGAGGGATAGAGAGTTAGAAACATCGATGAGAGAGAATCATCTATGAGCTGCCTCTTGTACACTCCCTACTGGGGATGTGCCCGCAACCAAGGTACATGCTCTTGACCAGAATCGAACCTGGGACCTTTCAGTCCGCAGGTGGACGCTTTATCCACTGAGCCAAACCTGTTTTGGCTGGTTTAGTTATTTTAAGCCATTTAAGCAATCAGTTCTGTAAAGCAAAACTGATACTCCATTAAGTCACATGTAAATTTTCTGGAAGCTTCTCAGTACCAGTGACCACATTATACAAAGTATCAATGCCTATTTTATATTTTGAGAGGCTTTATGGCTCTGTGATTTGTTTACCTACAGAAGTGTTGTGATTAATTTCACTGGCATGTAGTATGAGAGCAGTGGGTGTGAGACCAATGGAGGTTTGGTAAACAAAAAACAGTTCCGACGTTTGGAGGTGACAATTTTTTTAGAAAAGACATTAGTCCACACGTAAACACAAAAGCAAGGTACTAAGTTTCTTGATTCAGGCATATTTATTTTCAGATAATATAAGAATGTAAGGTTGCTTTACATCTTTCCAAAGAATAATTTGTAGAAGGAAATTCTGAGAATACTAGCATAAATGTATTTAGTATATTACTATTTTCAAAGCACTTAAAATTTTTCATTTGATATAGACAACAATCCAAAGAGTTTTTTTTTTATCTCTCATTTTAATTAGAGGGTTAAAGTTCATGAGTGATAATATGTAGGGAATCATTGTAATTTACTATTCTTTTCCATTTTAATAGACCAGAATATTTCATTTATTCCAATTTTAATATTATGCTACAGTCTTATAAACAAATGAATATCCATTCACTCTGATAAGCAATTATGAATAAAGATCACAATGTAGTATTCCTTGGGAGAATGACAGAATTATAAATAATTTTAATGAGCTATATTTAGTTTTTAATGTACATTTTAGGACGTTCCTAAATGGCAATTTTTCCATGTATGCAAGATAATATAACTTATAGTAAAAGATAAAGGTAAACTGCATTTTTCAATTATTTTAGATAGCAAATAATGTTGATTTAGGTAAGGTAACATAGATCAGGATATGTTAAATGAGTGAATAGGCATTTTCATTTAGTCAATCAATTGAATCAAACTTGAAAGAAGGTGAAATTAAATTATTATACTACATAGAATCCTCACATTTATGAATCACATTGCTACATTAATGTAATAAATAATATCAATGAAGAATGTAAAAAGGTAAATACATGGTCAATGCTAATAACATTTTCTTGGATATAGCATTACTATTATAAATAGTCTGATGCACAGCTATCAATTTCACATTTAATAACTTATAAAAACAAAGTCAGTATTTCTTGTTTTCATATGCAAAAGCAAGGCAATAGCTGGAGTGTGTACAAATGACATTAAATACATCTTGGAAAAGAAGATAAATGAATATATCTTATACATATAATACATTAACATTTTAATTTAAATTTATTGTTCTACTTTTGTTGTATAGTAATCTTTTATAAACTAAACTTTTCAATTGAACAGATTTTCATTAAGTACTATCAAATTTTCTCCATGTGAAAATCTAATGTTGTTATTTCTTAACAGTTTTTCTTTTCTCTTTTAAGACATACTTTGAAATAATGAAGTACATTACATTATTCATTATTACTATTTGTTATCACTTTTGCAGGTGGTCCTTTTGCAAGAAACAAAATTATTAACTTCTACCTAATATTTACATAAGTCCTTAAACCATTTTATATTAGTCTTTTACATTTGAATGTTATAGACATTTATTAACAATGAGAAATAAGTTACAAATTCTAAGCTATGATTTTTAGATGAACAAAAATAGATTCAGAGACAAATGGCAGGGGAGGGAGGTTGGGGGTTAGAGAGCAACCGATGGGCACAGACTCTGGGGCGGTGGGGGCGTGCCCGGGTGGAATGGTTGGGATGGGGGGTCAATTGGGAAAAAGGAGACATATGTAAAACTTACGATAATTAAAAAAAGACATGATTTTTACTAGTGCTATTAACATACACCATCTGTAATCAGGAGCAGCATCATGTTAAAATAATAATGACAATGACGGTGACTAATGCTACAGCTACCACTATTCTACCTCCAATGCAGGACTTTTTTTGAGGAAAAACCTACATTTTAAATTTCTTTACTCTATACATAAAAGAATACTAGACATTCTTCAAAAAACAAGAACTTCAAAAAACTTTATATGACTCAAATAATACCTTGTTAACTTAGTAGTTTTAACAGATAAAAGTACAGTGTAAATCATCATATTGTATAGTATTTTAATTTCTATTTGTTTTTCAGAACATTTTCAATGTAACTGAACATCATATAAATAATAGGGATTTATCAACAATTCTAAGGCCCTAACCTAAATCTTAAGAAATATTCACTTTCTTAAAATAAGTTCACAGTCTAAAACCAAAGAAAATATGCCATTGTTCATTTTTAAATGATCTAGATTCCAGGAATCATACATTATTTTGAAGTTAGGCAAATTTGTAGTAAATTTTAAAATATTTAAAATACATTCTTATATAGTCAGTGGAAGTATCTATGTACTTCTGAAAGGAATGAAAAAGTGCAAAGTTCAGTAAATCAAGGCAAAAGCTTAACCTGATAATATACAGCATTCGTAGTTAGTAAGAAGATAAATTTTATCTGTCTTATATTCAAGAATCCAGTTCAAGAAAAAATATAATCAGCATTTCACCTTTTCCTTCATTTCTGCAAGTTTCTGACCTTCATTTCTCTGAAATCACTGCTTCTTGCATTTGTTATGTAGATAAATTCTTTAAACTTTGCTTTAAAGTACCTAATTGAAAATATAAGCAATATTTATTTAGCATGAACTTTAGAGGTGATGACATTAATAAAACATTATTATGATAATAATATGAAACAGTAAGGCACATAATAAAAACACCGAACAAGAAATATAAGGATAAAAAAAAAGACTTTAATCATAAAACATTTTCTTTCATTTAAAAGTTCAGTGTTTTGTTTAGTAACTTGTCTAGTCTTCAGTTCTTTCAAGGTCTAGAAAAAATGTAGTACTTTTTGTCTATGGTTCTATGAAGTATCGCTTAGAATCAATAGCGTCAGAGGGACACCATGACAAATTAGTTGAGTACACTACCTATGTGCACATATAAATGGTATGGTCCTATGTGCACATATAAATGGTATTTTTTAATGTTCAGTTTAAGTTCCTACAGGGCAGGATCAAGTCTTTAAAACAGAGATCAGGAAGAAGGTTTGTTAGCTGTCACAACACTTACACCTCAGATGAATGATTAGCCTACTTGCCACTAAACAGTTTAGACCAGCATTCCCCAGGATTTCCCATAAGACAGTAGGCCTCAAAGCTACTTTGCAAAACACAGAATACCATCATTTTCTTTTAGAGACACAAATGCGTAAGATCCCCTAAGTTCTAAGGAGGAAGGAACCTATTTAACTATGTTTATTATATTTCTCTAACTTACTTGCCTAAACTTTTAAAATAATATGCATCAATATCGCTTGGAACAATTTTGGTAATACTGCTATATAACAAACATAAATGTTTCCAGCTTGAGAAAAACAGCAAAAATATATTTAATTTTGCAATTAAAGACCTACTTAATTGTAATCCATAATCGACCAAAATTTTATAGGTACAGGTGACTTATAGAAAAGAACAAATCCCTCATTTTGGAGATCAGTAAGAAGTATGAGACATTTCTTTGGGTTGAAATAAATAAATGAACCTCCTGTACCTTCCTCGCCTATGGCATTCTACAGGGATAGTTTAGAAAATAATAAATAAGGTGGCTATGCCATGGGACAGAATGAGGTTCAAACCTGGTTTGTGACTTACTAGAGCATGGTATCTTGGCAAATGACTCATTAAGCCTCTATTTTCTCAGCCGTTAAATGGGATGTGTGTGAGGATTAAATGAGAGTCTACACGTGGAAGAAAACCTCAAATAGTGCCAACCACCTAAAATCACTATGTAAAAATTAGCTGCTATTACTGTAGCAGACATTGGTATTCACGATCCTAAAAAATGTTCCTTAGATGTTAGTGATTCTACATTATAAAAGTAGAATATGAAGTTTATTATTTTGTGTCTACGCAGATACAAAGTTGCAGGTTAAACAGAATCATTTTTAATCAAGACATTCCAAAAGAATTCCAATTGGATGAGTATTTAAATCCAGTTTATTTCACAACTTAATAAAGGCAAAGCAGTTCTTTGTTATAATGATTAATCCATCAAATGAATTACTAAATAAAGTAAAGTTACTAAAACAAAATCATTAACAGAGTAATTCTAAGTTTGAATTAGTGACCTAAAAAATTAAAAATAAAAGGTGTCTCTCTTAGTTATTTCCTAAATGTCACAGCAGAAAAATAAATCCTGACCTTTTCTTTATGGTTATTGAACAATTTCAGACAGAGAAGCTAACATACTTATCTGCTATGCAGTTCCTTCTTCAGACAGGATTTGAAAGTGGGATACTTCTGAACTGTTTTATAACCCTGTGGAACAGAGAATTAAAAAATGTAAAAGTCAATGAAATGTTACGGGGCCACAAATATGCAATAAATATAGCAAAAAATAAAAAACACAACATTTAAGAGAAAAATGCAGAGGTTTACAATCATAGTTTATATTTTAATTTGTTATTGTTACTCTAAAATTTCTGAGGAAGAATAAATGATTTTCAATACATGCTCTTTCAGGTCCTTTTGCCATCATTTCAAATGTTAATGACTGGCCGCTAGGTGGCAGTTAAGTACATAGTATTGTTACCAAGACAGCTTGGATTTAAAAAAAAAATCATTAAAAAGGTTTACAAACATTGTCTATGATGAATCTTGATTTTATTGTATATATAACTTTTTCTCTTTTTAAATGTATAATACTTAGGGGTATTCTTACCAAAGAGGGATAGCTGCATATTCTAGCTGTTAATAGAAATATTTTTTTCTTTTCCCATTTTTGGCACCATCTACAAATATGCTACATGTGTAAACATTTATTGATCATGCTATATTTCATTGTTTAAAACATACTTGAGAATAAAATCACTGAATTTTTCATATTATTTTACAGGGTAAGATGTTAACAGGAAGAATGGTTCAACAGACAAAAAAATATTTTTACTTTAATTTCTATATTAAAAGTGCTGAATATACGGTGACTTAAATAAGCATCTCACTTGCCTACTGCAGAGCTGCATCATATAAAATGAGAAATAGTGGTATTCCTTTGTATACTAAGAAGTTTGATAGTAAGTGAGTAGATGAATTAATAAAAAAATATTTGGCAACCCTTGCCCCCACAAACTGGGATAAAGACATTGAACTACTTGATTATGAAATTAAGTTGTTAATATTCAAACTGATTTTATATTTAAAAAAGCATTGTCTTTTATCACTTCAAATTGTTTCTGAAAGTAGGTGGGGCCTTACATTTTTCTTTTCAAGTATAACATTTTATGTTTATATCTTGAAAAATGTATATAAATTGTTTCTGAAACTTAGGTGCATTTTTTCCCCTTTTTCAGTTAAAAAGATAGTATCAATAGGTTTGAAATGTATAGGTTTACCCGGAATCCTCTATGGAGTCTGTCTTTCATAATTCCAATAAATTCTTTATAACTTAATTGATCATCTTTGTCAACATCGAAAATCTTGAAGACTGTGTTCACTAAATGCGGAGAAAGTTTGAGACCAGTAGCCACATAGACAGCACGCTTAAATTCATCTAGATAAATGTTACAGAAAAGGAGTAAGCCATTATTATTCTTATAATATGTATTAATTACTACAAAGATTATAAAATACTTTTTTTTCTAAACATGACTCATGATCTTATGATTTTCCATTAATCATACTATCTTTTAGGAAACAAAAATTTTTGGTAATTTTTAAAATTTATCTTTATTATTAAAAGTATTAGATGTTTCCCCCCACCACCACCACCACACACACACAGGCCTTCTCCACACTATTGCCTATGTCCAATGCATATATGCATGTAAATTCTTTGGCTAATCTTATCCCACTCACTCCCAACCTCACCCCTCCCCCACCTTCCCTCTGTTGTCAGTCTGTTCCATGCTTCTATGTCTCTAGATCTATTCTGCTCATAATTTTATTTTGTTCATTAGATTCCATGTATGAGTGAGATCAGGTGATACTAGTCTTTCTCTGACTGGCTTATTTTGCTTAGCATAATACTCTCCAGGTCCCTCCAGGCTGTCTCAAAGGGTAAGAGAGCCTTCTTTTTTACAGCTACATATAATCCTATGGTGTAAAAGTACCACATCTTTTTAATCCAACTTTTGTAGTTTTAATTTAAAGGACCAAGAATAGCTGTATTTTAGTTTAATAATGCATTCATAGTCAGTGACTGTTTAATGAACACTCACTATCAGTGACAGAGAGTTTGGAGGTTACTAAGATGGTAAGTTCTCTTAGTCCCAATAGGAGATAAGACATCTGCCCAACTATACATAGGACTACACAAAACTACCAACAAAGCACTGAGAATTTGGAAATGAGTGACTACTTCTGTCTGTAGCGCGGAGTAGGGAACTGAGAGAGAAGCGCAGTGATTAGGAAAAGCTGCGATTCTGTATCTGAGCTGAGCCCCCAGGAGAGAAGATTTCAGCTTGCAGAGATGAGAGAAATGGCAGATGAGATGACATGCACAAAGGATGGAGGGGACAGGAGGGTGTAAAGAACCAGGAGAGTCTGAACGCGTAAGAGCTGGAGAAGCTCTGTGCAGGGGCTTTGAAGTGAGGAAGCTGTATGTTCTTCAACAGGCAGCTGGGGAAGTAGAGAATTTTCCATGGCAGGCATGTCGGAGAAAGGCTAGTCTGTGTTTTCGAAAGATTATTCTGTGAGTTGTGTAGGAAATATCAGAGAGGGATTGGGTATTGGCAGGAACACCAGGTCCTTTGAAGAGGTAATAATAACCTGAATTAAGGTGCTAGTAGTGATAAGAGAAAGTAAAGAGATATATTCCTAGCCCCTGCAAGAGTACACAATTGATTTTTTCCACTTCCCACTTCCACAAAGTGAAACAGTAACTGTGCATTCTGAACCAGACTTTTTTTTTCTTTGGTGGCTGATTAGTTTTATCATGGTAATAATAAATGCTAGTCTGGAATGGCGGGGTTCCTTCATGAAAATGGGTTCAATTAAGAAGATACCCTATTTGAACATCTGGCATAGACCAAAGATAAAATGACAAATTTTCAGGTTTTTCTTCCTCAATGAATAAATTAGTGAAGCCATCTGAGGGCCTCACTCTCTATGTTTTTGGGAGAGAGATAATTATCATTAGCGCTCATGGACTGCAGTTTGGCTTCTCCCTGGAGCTTGGCAATAAAACAATAAGTTCTATCCCCTTAGACTACATTTGGAAAATGGATTATGACAGACACAGGTCAAATCATCTTAAACACATGAACAGAAAGTCCTTGTACGGCAAGAATATTTAGAAAGGATATTGCCTTGAGGGAAGAAGGGAAAGTAGTTATGGCCATAGAATTCTAGAAAGGGACTTAGCTTGTACCTACAGAGAAAGAGTTTGTTCTGAGGTCACCAGCACTGAGGTCCATGACAGCTGAATTTTTTTATTTTTTTTTTATTTTTTGCAAAACTGACATTCAATTTTACAAACCATTCTTAAAACATGGTTAATGTGAGTCCATAGGTAAGAGGGGGTCTTTGTTGGCTAAATTCAGGTTTCTGAGCCACAGGGATTGTGGGTAATATGCATCATCCTGTGATGATGGCTGAGGCACGACTAGCTGGCTCTTCTACAAGTAAAAACACAACCTTCAATGTTACCAAGCCGTCATAAGGTGTCTTTCTCTTTGAACTTTTACAAACATCAATACTACTACTGCTCTGGCCCTGCCATCCCCCATTGGAAGAAATGAAGGGCAATTACATATTTATTTATTTATTGAACTTATTGGGGTGAGATTGGTTAATAAGATTATATAGGTTTTAGGTGTATGATTCTATATTACATATACAGATATTTAGCCTATTTCCCTAAACTCTGCTTAGGGAAAACAGATTTCCCATTGAAGGACACAACAAATTTCCAGGCAACTTATGGCTAATATGCTATTATATCTAATTATTTTGATGTCAAAGTCTTTGAAACAATGCAAGGTTATTTCTTGCTTTTAATTTTTGAAAGATTATTACTTACCTTGGCCTATAGAACGACTTGCAAAGTTGTACATATTCAAGGCTATTGCAAAATCCTCTAGGTTGTTCAAAAACTGGAAAAATGACCTGAATTCATCAAATGTGATGCCCTATATTGAGAGAATATATGTAAATAGATTTTAGTGTGGCCAAATTTATTAAAATAAGTACCCACACTTATTAGAAAGAAACAGACTAAGCATGTGCAATATATCTTTCAAGTGAACATTTCTAGGGCACATTCTGAAACCTTTCTCCAGATGGAATGTAAAATTCACTCAGATTTTTTTCTACTTAGCAGTGTTGCTACCATTAGGAATGTTAGTTGAAAATATTTTAAAAATATTCTCATATCAGCACAAAGTTCCAAAAAATTGCTACAATCAAAATGGATAGAAAAAGCTTCTATTTTGAAAACTCTTGCATTGCAGACCTCAATTTTTTAAACCCTGAAAGTAAAGATGATGATGAAGGGAAAATGAAGAGTTTTAAATAGACACCTAAAAAAAAAGTTGCCACCGTACAAATACTCATGAAATATAATTTAACATTGTATGATGGTCATCACTATCTTTATAGTGACAATGAAAATAAGCCAACAGTAGTGTATTTTCACTTGCTCCTGCCGCGAGGGCATGGGCAGCACAGCAGGAGGAAGCACGGTGACTGGACATACAGCTCTGGAGGCCTGATACTGGGCTTGGTGTGGGGTCATGGACAGGACTCTGGAATGTCATTTATGTAAGCTACGATTAGTGCCACCCCTATTACTTGACTTAAACAGGAAAGTTATTTAAAATAAATACCACATATTTCAGATAATACAAATTTGGGCAACAAGAGCTTCATTTAATTAATGTGTTCTACTCAGTAAATTAACGTGATTAAAAGGAAAAGTAAACCGAAAGAGCAAAGGGCTGAGAGCTTAGGCTCAACCAATTCTGACCTGAATGTAGGGGGGGCATACTAACAAGGCTGCACTGGAAAGCTAGGGACAGAACCAGAGGAGTCTATTTTCATTCAAGCCAACTACTGACTAAGTGATTTATTATCAAGATAATATTTATTATCAATTTATTATCAAAATAAGAACAAAGTTTTATATACATTATTCCCACTTTAATTACAATCCCTCTTTATTTTCAAGGCGAATTCTCACTGTCTTTTCCCTTCACATTTTTCTTTCTCTTTTTTCTTACATTCAGGGTTGGCTGTTCCAAGCCTGAATTCGGTTTGTGACCCAACCCCACTGTCACTTTTCCAGAGAGGACCATTCCAATCAATTAGGGAGACAAGCCAGAGGGGTTAGTCCTGCTGTGGAGAGCTTGTCGCCAGGGAAACTGGTCACTGCTCAGGCTCTGAATGAGTGTATGCTGCGACCAGATGCCACAGCAACAGTCTCTGTCTCAGGGTGACATGCTAATTGCTAGTAAAAGTGAAAAACAGGAGGATGGGATATTTTTAAAGCAAATTGTAAGTCTACCCTAGTAAATATCAATACTTTCATGGAGAATACTATATTATTTTCTTCCTGGATCTGGGCATTTAAGAAAATTTATATCAGTTCTCTGGCTAACCACTAAGACAATGAAACATAATTATTAGCAAATGTACATGACAAAGAATACAAATGTATTGTGGAAGAGAATCTCATTTCCAGAGTTACTACATTATAATATTTAAATGTTTAGTTTTTAGCAAATATTACAATGAGTATGAAGAATTAGAAAAAGTAAGTCAACAGAAACCATACCTGAGGAAGTTCAGACACTGGGATAAAAAAAAAAAGACTTTGTACAAATTGTCCTAAATATGCTCAAAAGAACTAAAGGAAACCATGAACAAAGAACTAAAGGAAATCAGGAAAACTATTAACAAAATAATGAAACAGAAATTGTAAAAGAAGAAACAAACAAACAAAAATTCTGGAGCTGAAAAGTTTAAGTAACAGAAATGAAAAACTGACTAGAAGTTCAAAAATAGATTTGAGAGGGTAGAAGAAAGAGACAATGAATTTAAAGACAGAACAATCGAAATTATTCAATCTGAAGAGCAGAAAGAAAAAAGAATGAAGAAAAATGCAGAATCTAAGGAATCTGGGGACACCATCAAGTGTATCAATATATACATTACTAGGGGCCTGGTGCAGTGATTGTTAAAGCAGATTGTTAAATCACTAGACTGGGAAATCATAATGTCTCCACTGTTAATTTCTCCCTAACTAGCAAGTGCCCTCACCAGTTTGAGCCTTAGTTTTCTTGACTGTTCAAGGCGGGGACTGAATAGGTGATCGCTTTAAGATGCTTTCAGGCTCTGACATCCCGGGATCTTTCCCCCATTGCCAAAGTTCATCATATTACAGTTAACTGCCTAGCACTCTCAAAGGGTTTTGACCATCAAATTTGGGAGATCATTGGAGAGATTCACTGTTGTTGTTTTTTGTTGTTGTTGTTTGTTTTGTTTTCAAAGATACCATTTACTGGTCAGCAGCAATGTGAAAGGGCCCAAGTCAGGATCAGGTTTCCCTTAGCTTCCTCAGCACTGCAGGATTCTTTAAGACCCTAAAAATACCCTAGTAATTTGACATAGTATAATTTCAATATTTATTTTTAGGGAAGTGTCTATGAATCAAAAAAAATTCAGTTTAGCATGTAAAACTGATAAAAGGCCCCTAATTGAGAGATTATGTAAAACTAATGGCCAAATACATCAAGTCCTTTTTCCTCCTGGAGAATTGTTAGCACTGTCACCAGGTATCCATTTTAAACAAAGTCAAACTATTTGCAAGTCTTTCTTGGATAGATTACCTTGATCCTTCTACAAACACAAATAGAAGGCAATATATCCAAAACATCCCATGCTTGAAGGGGTGCTTGTAACACCAGTTCTATTTGGTTGCAACGATGCATTCAAATGCCACTAGATAATGCACAACTGCACAGAATTGCTGACAAAACACTTGCCACTAAACAAATAGACAACCAGTTGTTCCAGGTCCTTAACCATTCATGCCATCCAAACTCTTTGAAAAACCTCACTTCAACTGCTGATAAGATCATTCACTCATCAATGGCCATCTTCAAATGACCTTTTACTAAGGATGTCATAGAAATGAATCAAGTGTGACTGATGACAATATAAACTGCTTTGTATGAGGTAATGTTTATATAGAAGTCAAAGCATATAGTTCAGCAGAATTCTCTTGAAAAATGATATTTGTAATTTGAATAAAGCAACTGTTAACAAGCTTACGGGTTTTTAGCATATCTAACGAAAATATGAATACCTACCCAGAATTTTAAATTAAGCCATTTTTAAAATTTAGCCAGAAAACTTAGGACACATAGGGGGAAAAATATCCGAAGTAGCTATTAATGCACAGAGCAAAAGAACAAAGGAAAATATATTTATAAACTTATATATTTATAAACTTATATAATTACAATATGTAATAAAGTGAAAATAGGGGATTAAATACCTTTTCTTCAGCTATATTGTAACGCATATTTTCCAAAAATACGGATGTATTTTCCACATTTGTATATCGTAAAAGAATATGAGCAAAATCTTCTTCGCTGATGGTATTCATTCCATTAGAGTAGGAAAGGAATTCTATTTCTAAAACTTCTGTTTGGAGGTTATCCATGAATCTATGACAAGAATGTATGAAGAATGAACAAGGTAAATGGAGAGTGTTGATGTAACAGATGGCACTCAGCCTCTCAGCGCTTTGGCTTCCTCATCAGTAAAGTGGGGATAACAAAAACCCTTGTAGGGCAGTGATGAGATGAGTTAATGTGTCATGTCTAATACTTCTGAATGTATAGGAAATCAAAATCCAGATGTCCACACATTTTTTTATCATTCAGTAATTTCCTATCATTCTTATCAATAAAACCACTGGAATAAAGGAACTGGTAAGTGGAAGATATAGTATCTCCAATTAAGATGAAAGCAGAGAAAAGGTTTCACTGCACTAGGTGTTTATGACTTTAGCATGTTAACAGTTTTTCAACACAATTATAAAAATTAAGCCCACCTATAAAAATCTTCAAAGTTGAGCTCAGCTTTTCCTTTCTTTCCAAAAAAGTGTACAAGAAGTGTGGTATCTGTTACCAAACTCATGTCATCAGCACGCTTAAAAAAAAAAATCACAATTTAAAGGTTAGATGCAATGAGCAAACAGAATAAAGATACCCAATAACTCTCAAAGAATCTTATCAACATATAATTATCAATATCTAGGATATAAATATATTAACATTAGAATGAAAGGTGTAAGGCTATATTAATAAATGCCATTACAGTTAAAAAGTTCAAAATTAGAAAATATAAATATGAACAAAACCTATCTTTATCATCAAAAAATTTTAAAGATATGATTATATATTTTAGGAAGTTTCCTACCTCAAATTATGCAAAAAAAGGTACCTATATTTTAAATTATCTAAAATAGTTTAAGTCTTTTAGTAATCATCTAAATATTTTATTTTTACTTAAGTAATTTATAGTAAAATTTTCTTAACTTAAAAATCCTTTTTTTATTAGGATGTTCAAAATAGATAGTCTCAGATGTATTGAACATATGGGGCTGACAAAAAAATGGTCTCAAGCTTTACAAAAGAACTTAAACCATAATATTTTTTTACTGTATTCCATATTTATGATAATTTAGGTAGGAGATAGTATAATTTGAAGGAGAAACTACAGCAGTAATACTTTGAAATTTATATCACCTACAGTTTTTTCAAAGAAAAGTCTTACATTTTTTGAAAAATTCCAGAGGGTATTTCCTTTCCCATTCAACTTGATAAACCAAGTTCCAACAAGTGTATTCTTAAAATAGCTTAATTATATAGTCCTTATAAAGTTCAATGGCTTATGGAAAATCTTCATTATTTCCTTTTATGTAGCTTTATGGGTTTTTCCTTTCTTTCCCTTGCTTCCCTCCCTCCCTTCTCTCTTCCGCCCCACCCTCCATTCCTCCTACCTTCCACTTCTGTTCCAGTCCCTTCCTTCTTTATTTGGCCATTAACTCATCTCTCTTAGAAATTCAGGTAAAAAATGATAAATTTCACATAATTGTACCTTTCCCATGTATTATCCTGCAAATTAAGAGTTATATAACAACTACCATTTTCTCTATTAAAAGGGACATATTTGAAATGTATTACTTCTCAGCCAGAACCCTGACATTAGTCAACAGAGCGGCAAAACTGGGGCTCGCAGGCCACATGTGGCTTGTGAGCAGCAGTTTGCCAACCACTGAACTAGGGTATCCATCTAGAAGCTAAAAAAACAGAACGTGGGAGGGACAAAATAGGTCAGAGGAGGAGGGTTGTGTTTTAGAAAGCTGTTTACTTCCCAAGTAGTGTCGTGAGCGAATACAATGAAGCGCAGGAGTCAAGAGTCTGGCTTTTGAGTCCTGACCTTTTTCCTTATTAGTTTAAGCGACTGTGGTGAAGTCAGACTCTTTAGGATATTATCCTCAGGAATAACAAAAGTATCCTATATAATAAAAGCGTAGTGTGCAAATTGTCCCCTTGCCTGGGAGTTTGTCCTGGAGTTTGACCAGGGGGAAGCCAGGGGAAGGGAGAGAGGCCCTGGTCAGCAGCCTCTAGGGACCCTGTCAGTGCACAGATTTCATGCACTGGGCCTCTAGTCTACTATAAAGGATTATTGCATTAGGTAACACATGTAAATCATTTAGCACTTTAACTGGCACATTATAAAGGCCCAATAAGTGTTAGCTACTATTATTTTGGCTAAATCAATGTATTTTAAGAAGTTCAGATAAAAAAGATGATAATGTTGAAGCTTACTGCAAAAAAAAATATTTTTACGTGGTACACTTAAACTTGTTATTGAAACTACACATATAATAGTATATAGATCTGAAAAAAAGATGCTTAAAATGAGAGGTTACAGGAAGACCAAAAGTTAGTGAACTCAGATATCATAATTATGGAATGTTTTCTCTAGTGCCGTGCTGTTCTTTACCTTGAGACCTAACACACGGGAATAAGATGGCTTTGTCTTACCCAGGTTTAAATAATGACCTCATTCAGGCAGTTTTTCTCATGCCCACAGAGCACAGCAGATCTTCATTTACAGTCTTTCATCATGAAAATCTTATTAGACTTAGGTTGCACTTATCCAGATAATCCAGAGCCACAGAGGCATAAGTAAAAGTTTGACATTAGAGAGAAAAATTAGAAAATGGGAATGGTGAAAAGTGCCCCCCTTCAATGAAATGGAGTACTGTTTGGAGTCACTGAAAACTACACCAGAGTTCTTGGTATCCTAACAGTGTTATATAACTTGCATCACAGGAGGGCTGGGACAAAAATAGAGATTTCATCCCTTTGATTCTTGTGCTCATTGTTAAACTAAAATGAATTCAGGTGTTTTCATAAGAAAGCAAGAAACTGCCAAAAAAAATCCCAGGGGTCATTTACATGGAAGGCCATTATCTAACTTTGTTTTGATGAAAACGTATTTTAAATGGTTTCATAAAAAATGAAATAAATTAGTAAATTTGCATAAAATAAAAATATCAAACTATTAAAATAAAGAGTTTTAAGGATATCATTTCAACATATTTTTACTGATTCCAATCTTATCAAGCTCTGTCCCAGGGCTGGCGGATTGTTGGCAGAGGTTCTGAATAATCTATTGAAATTTATTAAGGATGAATAAAGTTTAAAGCAAACAAAAAATTTTTAATTTCATCTATAAAACTCAAAATGGTTTTTAAAATTTTGTATTCAGACTGTACTCAACAATTGTTTGAGAGGCTTACATAAATGTATTACCTATTGTTTTGGTTAGAAAGTAGTGTTATCTGTAGCATATTAATTTTCATTATAATATGGATTTACTATAATCGAAAATCACCTATTGTTAAAAACAGCTCTGGCATAAAAATTTGAGAGGCTAATCTCAAATTTACCTACAATATTTGAAGAAAAGTGCTTATCTCAAGATTTACATTTTAAATATACAAGAAACAAAGAAATTCAAATAGATTTCTAAGTTTTCTTTCTGAACCAATTTGAATCCTGAAATACTGATACTATAAACAATTCAGTGTTATACCAGCATCAGTAGTAACCTATGAGGAATTAGAATGATTTGTAACTTAACCATAGTTAATTCTGTATCCTCTCTAATATGGGAAGGTGGTAACACACAATCCTCAAATAACCATTTTCTTTTGGAATATAGCTTGTTTTGTTTTCTTCTTTTTCTTTTCTACTTTCTCTTCTCCATAAGATTTACTTTCATGATACTTGAATAAATTCACTCGTTAATCTAGGAGCTTATGATTATAGTGTGGATTGGCTACAGCCAACCGTGTGCTGGTAAACTGGCTCTCCTGGACAAAAAGCCCAATGGATAGTGTTTGCCCATTTGTATGATATTAATACTCCCATCACGGTCACTTTCAAGGTACCAACGAGGTTTAACAGGATGATGAGTTAGGAAGAGCTGTGCAGAATTAGCTGTGAGAAGCCAAAAAGCCAGCTCCAGCGCACATCCGAGTAATAAACACCTTCAAAAGAACCTATATCATTTAGCACCTTTGAGTGTATGTAAAATTTGCCTGGTCTTCTGATACTAAACCTCCAGGATATAAATTAAATTCAGCATCTAATGAACAGATTGTGTCGAATCGAGAATTTCTAGGAGAGTTAAATGAGATTAAAGATGGGCTGGAGGCTGAGAGGTGGACAGACTAGTACAGGGAGGGACAACAGTGACACGACTTGGCTAGAAGCAAGGCCACAGTGGCTCATAGAGCCTCGAAGGGCTGGTGTCCCTAATGGCTCTTACTTTTAGACTCTGGAAAGTAAAGGCTCACAGTGGTGCCTTCGCTTTGTGCCTGCGCAAATGATCACAGAATTAAGCACTTCCAATGTGTGTCTGCACAGATGATTGAAGTTAATTAAGCACCTCTAAATGATCTATAAGTAGAATGTCTATTACCACTTTATGCCTAAAAATACTTCAAATTTAAAAGGTAATTTAAAAAGAGTAATTGCTCACCATAATTACACCATACTGATATATCAAACACAGTTTAGAGATAAGGGAAAGCTTTATTTCTTTGGGGATTTTAAAATTGAACACAACTGACAAAAAATCGAACAGTTCTAAGCGTTTGGCCTAGTCATGTAACACTGTATATGTAAATAACAAATTATACCCAATCCAGTTTACTTCTCTAGATATTTTTAGGTATAATCTTTAAAAGTCAAACTTTAGAAAAAGAAACAAGAAACCAACTTTTCAAAGAAAAAACTAATGAGAGATATATCTGTTAGTATTTACCGGAAAGTCCTTTGTGGTAAGATGATAGTAATCTCTAAAAAGTTCTTTAAAAAAAAATCTCAATTGAAACCATAAAATAACTCCTGGCCACGTAGCTCAGTTAGTTAAAGCAATGTCCTGATATGCCAAGGTTGTAGGTCCCATCACTGATCAGGACACAAAGATGTATGAACTGATGAATGCATGAATAAATGGGACTGCTGTTAACTGATGTTTGTCTCTCAAGTCAATAAGAAAAAGATTTGAAGAACATAAATTGCTGTTTAATCTACAAGACACAGCCCATCTTTTAAAATGACAAATCCCTATGAACAGCGGCATAATCAGGGCAGGGTGGCGGGAGCAGTCTGAGCGCAGCAATAAGGTGTCTCCATAAAATTAAAAACCGGCATGAATAACAGTCAGTGTGCTTTTTATTTCCCATGCACTGAACAATGTCAGGAGGAAATATTTTCCCTTCCTTGACTGCTCCTACCACACCAGCTCCACACTAAGCTACTCTCTACTGATAATTAGGAAATTTAATTGTTTAAATGTTGCATAACTCTAGCAATTAGCTATCTTTTACCAAAGTTAAGTTTCATCATTTCATGAAATATTGCAAGTTAAAAGGTGAGGAGAATTTTTGAAACTTTAAAACAGCATTTTCAAATTGTCTAAAAGTGATCCATAAGTTAAAAATAACAATAGTTCCTTTTAATTAAGTTGGAAAGTCATGTTTTCTACAAGCAAGTGGATTTAACGTAGATATAGGTGACCTTGTCATCTCTGCCAGCACAGCTGACATACTCAAATACACCACTTACACAGAGAAATTATTGCTTTACTGGAGGAAAGGAAAAACATAAAAGATATCTTTGGTTCCATCATTGTGACTCTAAAATAAAACGAGGATGAGATGAACAAAATGGCAAACAGTACAACGACCTGGTCGAGGTTTAATTATACCTCTGCGAGGTCTGAAAAGAGTGCTTGGCTTGTGTTACGTCTCAGTGTATCCCAGTAGCTTCTGGAGACAAGTTCCTCAGCATCTGGTCTAAGTACCTGCAGAAGTTTTAAGAAGCACAGCTGAAATCTAAAGGGTAGTCACAAAGAATGACAATTTATACACTTTAAATCTTTTCTACCCAACCTTGAAAAGAAAACACATTAGCTTACCTCCTTTTGTTTTCTGCTGCACACAACAGTATTATATTACACCGCTGGTAAACCCTGGGTATTTTCAAAGGTGTAATGGTATATAACACTCTTTCTAAGGACAATGTGGCTTTGTCAAGAAGAATCATATTCTTTCCCCTTCCCCCATGCCCTTCTACTGAAACATGCGTAACTTCTAAGAAAGTGTGAAATGAAAATTTTACTCATGCCTGATGTGAAGTCAATTCATTTGTAGACGATCTGGGGAATTTTGTAGCAACCAATAAAAACCATGATTAATTTAGAAATAAATTATTGTTGGCTGGCACATATGGTGTTGGTGCATCAAAGGATCAAAATAACCTGCCCACACTTTAGGGAAACAAAATTTAAACTAATCTGAAATTGTCAAGAAGAGATAAGCCAGTTTACTCAGAGTTCCTCAGGAATTTGATAGGTGTGTCTGTTGTGAATAGATAAGGTACTTGCTATTACCAGAAGGAGAGAACCCTAGCTAGCTTCGACCTCAGTATTGGCTAGTCTGAAGAAAAGGATATCTAGACTAAGAAGTGTAGTCTAATCTTCAGATGAAAATGCAGAACTACAAGCTTAGGAGTCTATAAAGACTCAAAAATATCTAAATGTAAGTTTCTGTGCAGATTTACCAGGGAAGGCTTCCCAGGTTCTTGGGCTTGGAATTTCTTTGATTATTGTGGGAAGAAAATGCAGCACGGTACACTTAGGAGTAGCAGCTGATGACTTTTATTTATGTGTGTATGTGTGTTAATTTTTAAAAGTCTGATGCCACTAATAAAATTATAACGCATCTGAGGATTATTTCAAAGATCTAAGTTTCAATTCATTATTTACTTGAAAACACTGCCTATTGCCCGTATTTGAATAAAATCTTTAAATATGTTAATAGTATAGTATTATTCAGCAGCAGTCACGTACCGTACACTAGTATAACAAAGACATATTTATTACCATAAGTGTAAATTTAGCCATATGACATTTTGCTCATCACCCCTTTTAATAACCAAACAAGCTTTAACTGAAATTATAAGCGAAATAAGTAAAATGAGCTGAATATAGAACACAGTTCACTTTTATGTAAGTATGGTAGAACCTCAATAAATAGTAGCCAGATTAAATACTGTACAAATATTATCCAAACATTTTGAACATGGATATATCAATACTTTTAAATTGTAACTCAGAAGGTTAATATATGATAAAGAAAAGGAAGATCAAATCTATCAAGCTAGAAAACAAGACTTACTGTATTATTCTTCGGAGGGTTAGAGGGATGACTTGCTTTGTGAAGCCCCTTCCCTACTTCCAAACACTGTCAACATCACACACACACACACACACACACACACACACACACACATTGATGACATTTGAAAAATATTTACAACCTATTAAGGGATAAAATCAATTTTATAAACTTTACTGACATGGATCTCTAGAGAAAAAACGTATTTCCTGTGCATAGAAAAGAGGTAAGTATACTCCAGTACACTGATTATCTCTGAATGGTGGCATTAGAATATTTTTTATTTTCTCCTTTTAGTGTTGCTATATTTTACACTTAGGTCAGCTGAGAAAGACAAGTGGGAGGTACGACTGTTCTGTTTATTTGGATGATGCTCCTTCTTAGACTGCTGGGAGTAGGGGGGAATAAAACAGAGATAGTGAAGACTTATATGACCAGTTATAGATTCATCTATCAGGATAATGTATCATTTAAAAAATATATATATATATATTTTATTGATTTTTTTTACAGAGAGGAAGGGATAGAGACAGAGAGTTAGAAACATCGATGAGAGAGAAACATCGATCAGCTGCCTCCTGCACAATGGAGGAATCCAAGCTTTCCACCCACTCTCGCTGGTCCTGGCCTCTGGTCAAGGCTACAAAGTTTCAATTATAAAAGATAAATAAATCCCAACAAAAATGGCAGTGGCCATGGAGCTGGAGAGAGCAGGAGGCTTGGGTTGCTCCTGGCAATGGAGGAAGCCAAGTTTCCTGGTCAGCTCTGGCTTCTGCTCAAGGCTACAAAGTTTCAATTATAGAAGATAAATGAATCCCAGATACCACGGCCTCCGCTTGGGTCGCTGGGGGCATGGCGGACTGTAAACCACCACAGGCCCCTTGCCCAGGGTGCTCCATGCCCCAAGGGAACCCCCACCCTGATCTGGGACACCCTTCAGGGCAAACCAGCTGGCTCTGACCCGTGCAACAGGGCTCTACCCTATCTAATAAAAGAGTAATATGCAAATTGACCATCACTCGAACACATAAGATGGCTGCCCCCATGTGGTCAAAGATAGCTTCCCCTTTGTGGACACAAGATGGCCAGCAGGGGAGGACAGTTGGGAAGGACCAGGCCTGCAAGGGAGGGCAGTTGGAGGTGATTAAGCCTGAAGGGGAGGACAGTTAGGGATGACCAGGCCTACAGGGGAAGGCAGTTACGGGCAATCAGGCTAGCAGGGGAGCAGTTAGGCATCAATCAGGCTGGCAGGGGAGTGCTTAGCGGGTGATCAGGCTGTCAGGCAGAAGCGGTTAGGAGCAATCAGGAAGGCAGGCAGATGAGCAGTTGTGAGCCAGCAGTCCTGGATTGTGAGAGGAATATCCGACAGTTGGACAATCAGGCCAGCAGGGCAGGGCATTTGGGAGGGACCAGGACTGCAAGGGAGGGCAGTTGGGGTTGATCAAACCTGCAGGGCAGGGCAGTTAGGGGTGACCAGGCTAGGAGAGGGAAGTTGGGGGCAACTGGGCCTGCAGGGAAGGGCAGTTGGGGGCGACGCAGGCCTGCAGGGAAGAGCATTGAGAAGGACAAAGCCTGCAGGGAAGAGCAGTTAGGGGTGACCAGGCCTGCAGGAGAGGGCAGTTAGGGGCAAATAGGCTGGCAGGGGAGCAGTTAGGCATCAATTGGGCTGGCAGGGGAGTGGTTAGGGGGTAATCAGGCTTACAGGCAGAAGAGGTTAGGGGCAATCATTAAGGCAGGCAGGTGAGCAGTTGGGAGCCAGTAGTCCTGGATTGTGAGAGGGATGTCTGACTACCCTTTTAGGCCCTACTTGGGTTGGGCCTAAATGGGCAATTGGACATCCCCCGAGCAGTCCCAGATTGGAGAGGGTCCTGGCTGGACTGAGGGACACACACACACACCCATGCATGAATTTCGTGCACCGGGCCCCTAGTATTTCAATATTTGGTGTGGAGAGACTGGAAGCATGCATAAAGCGCTTCTCTTGCCTACTAAAGTCATATGATTGTCTTCAGAAAAAAACATTTGTGTGATGGATAGTCTTGAAAAGGAAAGTAGTCACTTCTTTTCATGAACAATCATTTTTACTTGAAAGAACAACTGATAGACAAACTATGGTTGTTTAGACTTTGGTATCTGGCAGACATTTTTTTTTAAGTGAGCCTGTCACTCCAAAGGAAGCAATTGAGAGTATTTGTTGCCAAAATAACATACTGCAACAGCTTGACTGCAGAAGCTTTTATGAGAAACCAACTGTCTTCTATGAAGCCAGACACTGAATAGATTTGCAAAGAATGTAAAATGCCACTATCCCCACTATATTTTTGAAATTATTTTTCATTAAAATTTTTGTTAACATGTGTTTTTATTTTAAAATGGATAATAAATATTTTTAAATTTCTCAGTTGTAACTTCTAATATGGTAAATACTAGTAAATATAGACATAACCAATATAAACAAAAGCTCTTTTGGGTACTCAATAATTTTCAACAATGTAAAGGTGTTCTGAGATCAAAATGTTTGAGAACTGCTGCTTACAGCAATAACAGTGAATGAGCTAGACCTAGATACAACAATGAAAATGAAATGGACAATCATGATGTTGAGTCAAAGAAGAATCATGAAAAACTAAATTATATGATTTATGATGCAATAGGTGGTAAAACTGCAAAGAAGTGATTTACATATAAGATATTTCTGTAGTTATCTTTTGGAGAAGAGGAAAGGATTATCATTAGAGAGACAATATGAAGGAGCTTTTTGAGACATGGCAATATTTATTTTTTAGCTATATGGTGATCAAACTTTTATTATTATTTATTTTATTAACAGTACACTTCTGAACTAAAATATATTTTAAAAATCAAGAAAAGCTTCATTATCATTAGAGGGAAAATAGAAAAACAAAAAAACACAAAATACAAAAATAACAAAATATTAATAAAAATAAAGGTGGTATATTTATTTAACAACGAAATAGATTTTAAGACAAAAACATTTCTAGAAATCTAGGGCTAGTATATTATAGAAGAGTCAATTCACTAAAAAGACATACGTAATTTCTATTCTTAAATAGGCAATAACAATGTTTAAAAGTATATAAAGTAAAAAATAACAATTATAAGTAGAAATTGACAAGTCTATTATTGTAACATAATTTAACATACTAACTGAAAGATTTAGCAGACAAAACTTAGAAATAACAGATATTTAAAACATTTAATTAATAAGTTTGTTCTAATATATGATTTGATATATTATTTATCTTAAAAATACAACCCTAATCCCAAATTAGAACATACATATTTCTTTCAAACACAGATCATTTATAAATATTAACTTTTTTTGGTCCATAAAACACATCTCAAAATGTGTCAAAAATTGTATAAAAGCTAGTACATTTTTTTTTACTACAATGAATATAGGGTAACTAAGTTAATCTTTAAGTACTTTAAAAAGTCACATAAGGCATACAAAAGTCAAATATACTTCACTTTCGCATTATTTATTCTTTTGAATTTGTAATATGTGTTTTCATTATAGTAGTAAGATAATCAACAGTTGGCTATGTCAGAAATATGAAAAGAATCAGGGTTGTTTGGAACAGAAAGTTGTATGGTAATGATGTTCCAAAACGGGTAAAACTAAATTACCCGTTTACTCAAAGCAATAGCCAAAAATAATTTGACAGAATACAGACAGAATCTATGGCAGGAGCGGTTAAATTCTGGAACAGGGTACTACAGAGGCACAGAATCTCTGTCTCTAGTGAAAGCCGAGGGCCTCTGCCTTTACCGAGGAGCCTCTTCCTAAGGTTAGAGTCTTAGGTTGTATTAGCTCCATGAACTGTACTCAAATTAGATACTTGAATACTCTGGAAACCAGCAGATGGTTACTAGTTAATTCATAATATTATAGTAATATATTTGTGCAATACATACATCAGTCGTATTTCATATAAACTTTTAGGCTATCTGAATTTTTTCTAATTTTAAATGAATTTTCCTTGTTTGCTTGCATTTTTTGAAAATTATTATTATGAATTTAAAGGAAAACTATAAATTGCCATAGTTGGAAAGTGGCTCATGCAATGACATATTAGATTAGAAAAATAAATAATAAAGTTTTAAGTATTAACATTTATTAAGTTTCACAGGACATATGGTATTATAAACTACAAGGTATTTATCTTTCATATTCTTACCAATTTTTGAAATTATTAATAAGAGAACTCTTTAAAATTTTAAGAAAATGATAGACCATATTTAAAGACAAACAGTTGTAAATTTTGTAGAAAAAATTTAAGCGTCTTGTAAAGAATCAAAATAACTAGTCCGTCTTAGGGTCCCATGGACTTGGCTTGTTTGCCGGCCCATTCTAGATCCACTCCTTTCGACTTTGGCAAGATATCTGAGGTTTACGTGATGCCGAATCAGCCTCCAGCATACGTTCAAATCAAGAACAGAGTCAGGTTTTGGGTGTTAGACTTTTGATTATCCAACACAGGAGGCAGCACAGCTGCTTACAGAGCCGCACACTATAACTGAACTCTCTGACCTGCATTATGCTGAGTCCATCGCCCTGAATGCAAAGGCCTACGCTCAGGTGGAACTTAGGTAATTTGAAAGATCCTTTTAACCCTGGGGAAATTAAATGGATCGTGCATGTTTACATTCAAAAGGGGCATGGCCTACTCTTAGTAGTTTAGTAACTGGGGTAACCAACAAGCTCAACTTGCCAAGAGAAAGCAAAGAAGAAAGCTTAGCATAAAAAGAGTACATTGGAAGATCATTTACAGAACTCCTAACTTTGTCAGGAAGAGAAGAGTCTGAAAATCATAATCCTCTGTGAGAAATAACATGATACATTGATAGATTAAACATATCTAATGTCAGCTTATACCAGACTTTTGTGTAGACCATAGGTGATAGGTAGGGATCAAAGGTTTTATTAAAAATAAAAAAATTGGGAGAAATACTGAAAACTAAGAAAAGTCTATCTATTAACATACCTCTGTATCAGAATTGAGAAAATAATATATGTCAGATATGTAGACCTAGTTCTTAAAATGCCTGTGTTTGCAGGAGCACAGTCTAAAAATCTGCTCCATAATTTGTATTTAACTTCAAATCCTGGTGAAAATTATAAAATTTCAATTATGTACCACAGTTGTTGGTTATTGTTCACTCAACTTTTCTTTATTGCAATCTAAAATTAAAGATATATGATTACTCTGTAAATTTTTAGTCTTCTCATAAATATAGGAAGGAAATTAAAAAAATTTGGCTTGGTTGCATCTTATCGTATTCAATAAATTCCTAAACATTTCAGTAGCAGATATAGTTTTATATAACAAAATAACATCATCAAGTATAACAGGGGAGGGATGTTCCCAGAAAGAATATTTAAGTTATTGTACATACACTATTAGTAGGTGAATGGTATCCATACAGTTGAAGACGCTGACATCGAGCACAAAGGGCCAAATGAAGCGTCACATTTCAGAACGAACCCAAGGAAAAAGGAAAAGGAAAAAAGAAAAAAAACGACAAAATGATCAGTTAGGAGAGGCAAATCATTATGCTACATTCTATATAGAGAGCATAACACAAGTGGGATAAATGTTAAAGATTTATCTCATATAATTAAACATTAAAAATGTTATCTTTTATGCTAGCTCATAAAAAAATCTCATATAATTAAACATTATTTATTATGTGCTCATTTCAACCATTTCAATTGTGACTTTCTGATGGAGCTATTCTTTGAGTAAAACTTGTTCCTCCGAAGTATGTGATTTGACTTAGACATGCTTCGGCAATTCTATAAGCAATAGGGGAAATCTAAATGTAGCATGGAAATGGTCTGAGAGACCTGCGAAGGAATCTTCTTCTTCTCTTGAAGTGCCATGGCCTTAGGCAAGTTAATGAATCTGAGATTATTTCCTCATTTGCAGAACAGATATGGTACTTACCTGGGAGACACATAATGAGGACTAAATGCAAGTAAAATTTATAATAGCTGTAACACAGAGCTTAGCAAATAATGTGTCTCTAGAATATTATGTTCATTTCCTCTCTCTTTCTGAAGCAGTTAATCTTATTTGGCATGTAAATATTTTTAGATTTGGTTTTGATTTAATTTTGAATTGGGTATGTAAATATTCAGTTTAAGTAGCTATATGGTTCTACTAATTCCTTTTTGAGTGTTTATTTCACATACTGTTAAGTGACTACATGGTTTAGCTCATTTAAACCTGTAAGAATCACATGGGATCATTACTCCTCTTGTCCCCTTTGTAAAAGTGAAGAAGCTGAGCCACAGAGATGTTAAGGACCCTTTTCAAAGTCACCCAGGTATTAAGGACAGAGCTGATATTCAAACCCTGTGCCATGCTCTCTCTCTAATATAACGCATATATTTTCAATTTTAATAGCTTCAAAACACAAAAATCTCATCAGTTCATATTTGCATTATTTAAAATATGATGGCTATTAACAATAAGTTACCACTAATTAAACATAGTAACAAACATTTGTGGAGAGCTATATTATCATAGAGTGCTGAGGGTGTTTTAAGAAATAGTCTGATAACTAAACTAGGTAAATGAGATTAATTAAATTATGTATGTTAATTATTTGAATTCCTGGTAGACCAATGCAAATCACTAATTTGCAAATGAAACAATTACCATTTACATGCCAACAAAATTCACTACGTTTTTGCTATCTAAGTACAGATGAAGAAATATGCTACAGTGGGTAAGAGTATAGATAATGGAGCTAGCCAGACCTGGGTTCAATTCTTGGGATTGTCATTTAATAGCTATGTAATTTTGGACGAGATATTTAACCTTTTCAATAATCAGTTTTCACATCTATAATTACAATTATATGAGAATTGCTGGGTGGATTAAATGAGAAAATGCAGGCAAAGCATCTAGTATGGTGCCTGGTAATAAGGACTCAGTACCTGTTATTTTTTATTATGTGGACCTGGGATGCTGTCAGATTGAAATATTTGGGGCAAGAAAAAGAAAACTGGTAGGAAAATGAAGTGAAATGTTGATTAACTCTACCTTTGGAGTAAGATGAAAACATCTTCCCAGAAGAAAAATCTATAATATAAACTTCTAAGAATGCAAAACATTATTATTAACATTATTACCTTGTTTTTACTTCAACATTCATAGTTATAGTACCATTAAATTCTACATGGGTAATAAAATCTTTGCAATTCCCCTTTAAATTGTATATGCATAATGACTTATACTAATCTGTAATTGAATCTCATAAAATACAACAATATGAATAAAATGATTTAAAGAATGTAATTATGGATACGGATATGTAATATCAATATTTGACATAAATATTGGTATCAATACATATCAATACTGAAGCAATTTTTCTATATTAGAACTTTAGAAAGTTGTTAAGAAAGGAACATCTTCAAAGTTGCAGACTATTGTTTTCAACATAAGTAATGTAATTCTTATTTAGAAAACCCACCTGAAACTACTATAAATTATTCTTACCAGCATTGCACGCTTTTCTTCATCTCCTTTAGTTTCTCTCTTTTCATTTTTTTTCCTGAATATCTCTTGAAGCTGAAAAGAAAACCAATCAATATAAACAAGAGTTTCTGAGTACCTACCTATTTATCAGTGGGCTGCTGATAACAAAGAAAATACATCCTTTGGTATCAGCAACCCATAGTTAGTAAAATGTACAAAATTATAGTTTTATTTTGTCCGTAAGGCACAAAGACATAGAATTTATGGCACAAACATAAAAAAAGAGGAAGCCCATTGGGGCATAAAGAACGCTGGAGTAGAACTCAGGGTCTCTGATTTGAGCCCACCTTCTGTCACACACCAATTCTAAGGTGGTGGACAGGCCACTCAACCCTCGCTGGGCTCCATGAAATTAAGATGGACTAGACCTCTAAGCTTTCTCAGCATTGTGATGGGAGCATGGACTCTGCAAGTATAATCTTTGAAAAAGTTACTCTCATTATGTAAGGCTGGTTTTCCACACCAGGAACATAGAGATAATGCCTTACCTTACAGGAAATATTTTTCCTCTGGCTTTATGGAGGTATGATTGACAGGTTGTATATGAATGTTATACAGAGTAAATATTGCAAGTAATTACTTAGCACATTGCCTGTCACACAGTAACTTCTCACTAAGTGTTAGCTCTTATTATAAATATTATCTCTTCTCTAAAATCCTATTTTACAAATGAAAGCCTAAGTTTCCTGGTAAGGTTATTATTCTTGTCTGTGTAATGTACACAGCTATCTTAACTCTCCATTTCACTTTGTATGGCAATAGCTGAAAGTCAAATAAAATGTATTATCTCCTAAAATATGAAATAATATACAAAATATAATTTATTAACATATAAATTCATTTTCACACTTTTTCTTAGTGAAGAGTTTTTTTTGGTCTTTTTTTTAGCAAAGGTTATTAATAATTATTTTGTAAACGGGCACGAGAATCAGACTTTAAGCCTTAACAAATAACAGCCAAACTCCACCTTCTGCTTTCAGAACTCTTTGCTGTTTGCAAACAAACATCATACATGAGGAAGTAGCCACTGCAAAAAGTAAAGCACAGCTTTAAGGAGAGGGCAGCTTTAATGAGTCTAGAGTGGAAACAGAAGTTTTCCATAAATGTTTTTACCTTCCATCTCCACAAGTGAATAGTATTCCAAAAGACATCTATATAGGCAACTTCCAATGGACTGCGTTCCAAAAGTCAATCTTAAAGTCAGTGGGATGGAACCTGGCAGTGTTGTCACAGAAAGTCTACTGATAATTATTTAGATTACTAGGCCCACCAGGAAAATCCTAAAATACAGCTGTACACTATCATAATAAAACTAGATTTAAAACGCAATCCGTCCAGCGCTGTCTTTGCAATGATATTGCAAACTCTCACCATCCTACCATCCTGAAAATGAGGGGTCCTGCAGGCTCCAGCTCCAGAGGCGTGGCTCAGGGACTGCACTCAGGGGCGAGGACCACAGGGGCCTCAGAGTAAGCCTTTTGATAGATAACTACAATTATTCTGCTTGCTTCCTTTCGAATGGTTACTAATTAGCTTTTGATGAGGATTTTTATCTCTTGTCTTTCCTACCATGGGAAAAAATGATTTCATGGTTTCTCTTCCATGTTCCAGCCTCTGAAGAAAATAGTAAAGAGGTTTCCCGAGGAATTTCTAATGGCTTGTTACAAAGGAAAAATCGAAAATAAAATATATATATCCATTTTATTTTCGATTTTTATATATGTAATATATATGTAATTTTTACTACGAGAATATAGGTAAATATAGAGTTGAACATAAATGCTAAGAGTATACCTTGTTAATATAAGGAATAAATTAATGCTAATTTCTATTTTGGAGAAAAAAAATGTAACAGCTATTTTGCCACTGAAGTAGGAACAGAAATACATGAGTAAAAAGAAATTGAAAAATTTTGGAAGCAGCATGGGGGTGATGAAATGAACGATAAGACTAATGATGTTGCTAGACCAGCAATAACACAGATCAGTCAGGTGAGAAAGATCAATGGACAAATATCTAAAAAGCAGTCTTTCTCTTTCCTCTTTAGATCAGCCTTTGGTCAAAGACAGGGGAACAGAACAGGAAAATGGGGACAAGACTGGAATGCAAGGCAGAAGTGAATGAAAGAGACCAGGAAGAGCAGCGATCGTAAATCCTGTAATGAGAAGGAAGTTCCTGTGGCAGAGTTGTGTCTGGGTGGCTGATAAGTTGGGGTCTGAGCACTCACTGGGTATCCACTCAGAATAAAATGTTTATTTCAAACTTCCAGAAAATGTGTATACAACTGTAACCATCTCTATACACAGAATCTAATTTATTTTTACTGTAAATATTATTCAAAGAAGATGAGAATATACATGAAAGCATAATTTTTTCATTCTTGCTTTTACGATGTTATTTTAAATAATGTGAAACACAAAAATACAAGGAATTAATATTTAATCATTGATAAAAATCCAGCAAATAATATACATACCACCAAAAACTCCTTTTTGTCTACCATCTCATTGCCGTCAGTGTCGAACATGTTGAAAGCTATTCTAAATCCTGCATGAGGCTCTGCCAAAAAAGACAGAGGAGTATTGGTGAAATGAGAAATTGCTTTAAGTTTGTATGTATATGTACAAAGTCCATATTAGTTTTAAACAGTTATTTATATTCAGTACAGAAATAATTTCTTAAAGCAATAAATTAAAGCAACATGTTGCTATTAAATATAATAAAAGCTGTGTATAAGTACTATACACATTTCTGCTTCACATATTAGTGTATTTAGTAACAGAATTGATAATATACTTTAAAAATATTGTGTGATACTGGCTACATTACCCTGACAGTAAAATTTCACTATCTTCCTTCCAAAAATAAATATGACACAATAAAGTAATCCAAATTCTGGAGGAAATTACCTATGAAAATAAAAGTCAAGCATGAGAGATTGCATATTTGGGTTGAAACTTTTAAAGTTTAAACTTCAAAACCAGAAATATGAAATAAGAGACTTAAATAATTAATTCCCAATTATCCCCCAAATACAAAGAATAATTAATTTTCTGAAAAAGACAGGTTTTCACAAACTATAAACTGCTTTAATTTTATGAGCTTTACAATGAGGTTCAATCCTTTTTCTCTTTTCACTTCTAAAGTATGAAGAAGAAAATGTGGACATCAGAAAACTTGAACATGTTGTTAAAAGAGCTCAGTGTAACCTTTGACCTACACTTTTTAGATGACTGGCAAACAGTTTAAAATGGGACCTCCCACAGCTACACTTGCCACTACCTGTTGTGAAATTTTGAATTTAGCAAAAGAGAAGTACAGAGTACTTTCTTATCTGGTAATAACTGTCTGAAAATAAAGGAAACGGAAGCCAGTCTTTTAGGCAACTTCATGTCTTGCATGTATTTTAGGAATCTACACTGATTTTCATTATTACTCACTTGAGAAAAGTTAAAAAGCTACACCATCTCTGATAACCACGTTTAAGCTTTAAAAAGATCATAAGATATATGTATAAAGGAAATCCTTACAAGCATTACTTGGAAGGGAAAATAAAAAAGTAATAAAAAGTAAAGAGGAGAAAACTATAGATAGGTAATAGGTGATCTAATCTACCTTCTGCTAGACATCTTTTCACATTTTTCTTGGTTCTAACCTAAACAGTATCCATAATTCTAAAATGCAAACTCCTAGAAGTTTCTAAGAGGGGTCCTGAATTGCAAAAGAAGATTTACACACCCAAAGGTCTTTACCTTCTCATAGTAAGCAAAAACCACCATATGTGTTTTTTCCAATACCTTTCAATCATATCTAGTCCCATCTCACATGGCTTTCTTAACTATAGTTCTATTTTAGTCTTACACTACTGGTTTAGGTACATAGTAACTTCAAATTTTGCATCTGCAGTTATTCTAGATAACAAGATAACTTTTTAATAAGTCTTTGAAATACTCTTTGGCACCCACTCCTGTAACTTTCATGCTAGCATTCGTTATTGATTGAACTCAATCATGAGAGTTCTTATTTCCATATATCTCCACAAATCCCCACAATGGGAAATTCCACCACCAATATTCTTTTATTCATGCCTATCTTCATTCATTCACCAACTATGCTTTAAAAGGCTACCACGTGTCAAACACTGTTCTTAATACAGAAATGGGCAAAAAAGGATAAAATCTTTGCCATCATGAACCCTGCATTCAAGTGTGGCAAGACAGACAAGAATATGTAAACCAATAAAAAGTGCTTTCAAATAATTTAAGTACTATGAAGAAAATAAAACACTGTAAAGGGATAAAAAGGAAGAGATAAGAGAGGGAGCTATTTTAGAAATACAAGGAATTTTAGAAAGGATGATCAAGTAAGAATTCTCTAAGTCTTCACATTTCAAAGGAAAGCTAAATAATGTTTATTATCATGAGGATCTTGAAGAAAAGCACTAGGGCAGAGGGAGCAGAAAGTACAAATTCCTGAGGTGGCAATAAAGGAATAGAAAGGTCAGGTGGCTGGAGTACAGTTCCACCATTAAATGCAATGAAATTTAACTGAAAACCTTAGTAGACCCTTCATATATTTCATAAGAATTGCTGCACATAAGAGAAAGAGGGAAATGAAGCTATTTCAGGATGTATGATGTACATTCTGATATTCTTTCACACTAGTTTTGCAGAAAATGAGTATAGCAGGGCATTTATAAATCATGACATGTCCTACTTTTAGGCTCCCATGTAGACTAAAACACAGGGATTGATAGAGGTTATTAAGTTTATAATTTATGAGCATTTTACTAATATACTATAAGCCATAATAATATTTATGATTTTGACCCTTGATATGCCATGCTTAGCATTTTCTGTGGGTATTCTGACATGAAATTTGCAAAACAGCATAGACATACCTAAAGCGTTTTTAAGAGAATCTAAGAAAATCTAAGAAAGATTTTATAAAAATTCTGATTTAAAAAATTTTCATCCAGAAATAAATTTAATGAGTACACTTACTTGTTAAAATACACAAGAGAAAAAGATATTCTGTGTAAGAAATCACACCTAGAAGAAAAACAGTACCAGTTATGTTCGGTAAGAATATTACGCTTTCTTCATATTTATCAAGTAAAATATTCTTATATAGCAATAAGTAATAGTAATAAAGAACTTACAGTTTTAAAGAAAATGCTAAATTTTGTTTTAAATGAGACTAAACTATTATTATTAAATCATAGCCCAAAAGAGCAACAAAATTAATTTTACTTTCATTGTAAAAACCGATAAAAATTACCATAATGCTTCTAGATATATTGGCAGTAAAAATAATTATTATAATGTTTACTTATAGCTGCAACTTTTAAACTTATGGCTAGTTTTCAATGTATGAATCAAACATAAAACAAAAAGTTGGAAATGGTTAACATTGTAAAATGCTTAATTCTTAGTAGCAGTTTATAAAATAGTTCTTGCTCAGAATTTTGATGTCTGTACTACATTCAAAAACAAAACTCTATAGTTATCTTTTTACTGACATAAGTTATCATTATCATTTGTAAACTTAATGCTTCTATTAAATGTAATCTAAGAATTTTATATTTTATTTAAATGGCTTATACTTTCTGTATACTAAGCCTGAGTTCTCTGTAATCCCAGAATTGTAAACTTTAAAAGGCGTTAGTGTGGGTAAATAAAAATATACATCCTATTACTCAAATTCTTTCTTTTAGACTATAAAATCCAAAACTAGAATAAAAGCATTAATTTACTTTCTAAGTAGATCCTGGGAAAATTAAAGTCGGGAATAAGCCAATAGCACTTAATCAGATATCAGATAGTCCTGATGTTTGGTTAAAGGGTATAAAAAACCCTTCCACAACCAGACTGTGAACTTTAAACCTCCATTTTACCTGGTGTTCTCTGAAGCTACCTTTTTTGTTACAGAACAAAGAGAAGAGGAGTCACTGTCAGGTAGTTTGTCAGAAGACATGAAGGGACCGAGCCAGGAGGCCCTGAAAGCATTCCCCTCTTTTGTTTATACTAGAATATTGTGACCTATAGACATAGTTCTGGTTGATTGCCATGAATGCTATGGGAGAAAGATTCTGGAATGGTCAATGTATATAAAGATACAATACCTAGATTCCATAGGGATCCCTCAAAAAAAAAAAAAAGTGAAAAAGAAAGAATGAATGAATGAGGGAAAAAGGAAATTGGATCAGGAAATGGGCTCTTTGTCTCCACAGTCCCATCTTACTGACTGTTGTTCAAATTGATCTGGTGGAATACATTTCCTGACCTTATCATCCCACCCTAAAATCTGAACAGCAATCTTTCAGACAACTTCCAGGAAAAAATTTCTAAGGGCTTTAAAGATACCTTGGCCCAGATTTTGCAAAGAGGTAAAAAACAAAAAACAAAAAACAACCCTACATTATGAGAAGCCTAAAATAAAAGTAGTGTCTCTTCTTTTTGGATTCCATGAGACCCAGGTGGAAACAATTTAATTTCTAATTCTAGTAGACAAAATATATGGATTATAACTACTCCTTTAAACTATTTGTCTTCATATTAGATAAATACATTTTCCAACCAGTATTGGTTAAAAATGATGAAAAAGAAAAAGGTAATTTTATGTAATTTCTTTAATATTTTTATATCATATATTCTCATTTTTGAGAATATTTCAAAAAATTCCTTTTTAAGATTAAATTAATCTTAAAGATTTTATTAGTTTTTGCATAAATATGTACAAAAATTACAGTGTAAAAAACTGCAATAAAAACTATATAATTTGACTATATGTATGAATTAGTGAGCTAAGTTAGATACACAGATATGGGTAACAAAGTTGAAATAAGTGAATTTTGTATTGTTTTTAAAAACAAATAAGTGTTGTTTTTAAAAGAAACAGGTTCAAATTGAGTGGCCAACCACAGATTTAATAATTTTTTTCATATTGATTAAACTTAAGAAAATCTATAATTCCCTGGAAGTAACAGACATTTAAAAATCAGTATTTTTGAAAAATGTTTTCTATGGGTAATTATAGCCTATACTTTTCAATATGGTTAAAATGTTTTTTTTAAACCTGTAAAAGTTTATTTTGTTGTAAAAATTTTAGAAAATATAGTAATATATAAAAAGTAAAATTAAAACCATCTTTAATCCCACTACCCAGAAATAACAATTATTATATTTGTATTTTTCTCTTCAGTTTTTTCTCTATGTACATATAGCTGTAAGATTATTTTAAGTATGAGGAAAATCTGTATATATAAACAGTATGTCAATATTCACATACATAAATACTAAAGTTAACTTACCTCTTTCTTTAAGGTTTCGAAATAGCTTTGATGATCCTTTCCAAACTGGCGGTGTTTCAGAGAGCATTTGATTTAATTCCTATGACATAAGGTATCATAAAGCTAATTAATAGGTAAATTAATCCAAAAAAGATTTTAAAAAATATCTAAACGCCTATGTAAAAAAAAATCTCCACTTAGGAGACCTGAGACATGATTGTATTTATCCTATTCTTTACCCATAGTTCATTAAACCACAAAAAGCCAACATTTGCCCAGAGTTCAAATATAATATAAATGATAAAGATGCTACAATTGGTAGCTCAATTAGAGATACCAAAAATTGCAAATAAATTTAATAATTAGAGTAATGTATATATGCTCATGAAATTAAGATAAAACAGTGAGTAAGTTGTGGAGGCCGTTGGAAAAGGACAGTTTCACGGAAGCCATTGAAAAAGGTAGACTTCCTCATTAAGGTCATCACATACTGTTCTCTGTAGGCCTCTTGTTATTATATTTAGGGGGCTTTGTGCTAGAAATAAATGGACAAAGGGTTATATCAGGAAGGAATGAAGAATATTTTAATAGTGACTCAAAGAATTATGACATTAGATGAAATTAGAGGACAAGGACTTTAAGTTATTTTGTATACTTTCAATTCTTTTCTAATTTTACCTTAGTTATTAAAGAACACAGACTTCAATTGTTGATTAGTTGTGTGTTTTTTTGTTTTGTTTTTTAATCAAACTCACAGCTGGTGGGGGGAAAAACTATTTTGGAAAATTTAAACATTTGATTCACTCTTTATATACTAAAATTTTTAATGTATTTATATATATTGTGTTGAAAACAACTAAGTGAAAATTACAGTTTGTTTAAATGTGAAGAAAAATTATTAAAGGATTTGGAGAGATAACCTGAAAAATTTGAAATTAAAAATTAGTCTGCTATGAACAACAAATACGTAACTATCAACAAGTGAATCTAAAAACCAAGGGAATTAAAAAAAAAAATTGATGAACAATAGTAACTGGTGAATATAATAGAATCAGAGGTATGAGAGGGGAGTGAACTGACGATTCTTGTGGGGAAAAGGGGAGTAGGGCGTGTGGGAAGAGACTGAACATAAACTGTGCACCTATGGATGAGGACAATGGGGGGTGGGGAAAGGGCAGAGGGTGGAGTGGGAACCTGGTGGAGGGGAGCAACGGAGGGGGGGGGCAATGAGGAACATTTGTAATATGAACAATAAAGATTTATTAAAAAAATAAATAAAAATTAGTCTGCTAAATAACACACTGAAGAAAACACTAGAAACCACTTCTATTTCTAGGTCTGATTCTTGGTACTCAAAGTGCAATAGCCCAGCCATCGTTATGGAACTGAGACTTCCACCTGCCATCAATGGCTCCATCATCATTAAAAGACTCTCAGTTAGAGATGCAGACTCTCAGTTCCCTACCAGGCCTGCTGAACCGGAATCCGTTTTTAGCAAGATGCCCAGGTGACGTTTATGCATATTTGAGTTTAGCAGCACTTTGGACAAATCCTTCCTGATGCAATTTTACCTGAAAACGTTCTGTGACATTTAGAAATCATCCTCTTCATTAAAAAGTGGAGTTAGCATGCAAATAAGAAATCTCTGGATGCCCAAAACAGGAGAGGTGTTTTTAGGGGACTTAGGGACTCCCTGAGAATCCTGTGAATTCCACCCGTGGATCCTGGCTTTCCTCTCCTGTATGCTGTGGTCTCTGCACTGCAGGCATAGATGCCGCCAGGTAATGGGCAGCGATGGCAGAGAGGTAAAAATTCAGGTGTGAATGATGATGAAAAGCTGGCATACTTACTGTTTATACACCACTGAGACAAATATTTGTTAGAGCAAAAGATTTAAAAACATTTTAAATGTATTTTCTACACTTAATTTTTATCATCTCTATTATATATTAACTTTTATTTTATTTTAACTGTTTCCATGAAAGCATATCTACCATTCATTGAGTGCCCTCAATGTGGCTATTACAATATCTCATTTAATTGTAGAATTTGTAATCCTCATTTTATATATTTTGCGGAGTCTTAAAAAACACAACTCACCCAAGGTCACACAACTAGTAAGTGACCGGCAGATCCTGACTGATTCTAAGCAGTTTATTTCAGTAATAATTTAGTTTTTTCTGATATAGGTCATCCAATGACACACTTATTTCTTTGCATCCTGTTAAATTTAAACACTGTTACATTTTATTAAAATCTATTTTCTGTTCAGGCTGGGAATCTCTCCCCCCTCTCTGGTACCTATCTTAGTCTCTATATGTAGCAATGTTGTATAATAAAGAAGTTGATATCTTTGTCCAGATTCCTGGGAGGCAAACTCTATATCCATGGGTCACACCTAAGTTTAGGCTAAGATGCTGATCACCAGAAAGAACCACCATGTGATTAGAGCACTGGGGCATGGAGCTAGCCAACCTCTGAGGGGAAGGGGAGAGGGACTGGAGATTGAGTTTAATCACATGGCCAATGATCCAATCAATCATTCTTATGCAATGAAGCTCCAAAGCTCAGTGGAGCTTTCAGGTTGATGAAAACACTGGTGGGACATGAGGGTGACACCCCTGAGTCTATGGGGAGAGGGCACAGACGCTCTGTGTTTGAGGCCCTCCCATACTTTGTCCTATGTGTGTCATCATTTGGCTGGTCCTTATTTGTATCCCTTATAATTATTATCAACTGTAATTTTAAGTGTAGAAGATTCCAGTCTATGAGGAAGACTAGCAAATTACTGAACTTGAGGTGAGTTGTGGGAACTGCATGGATTTGTAGCCAATTGGTCAGAAGAATGAGTTGCTTGGGAACCTTGAACGTGCAGCTGGCATCTGAAATGAAGGCAGTCTTATTGGGGGCTGGGTCCTTAAACCTGTCGAGTCTGACAATAACTCCGGGTAGTGAGTGTCAGAATTATAGTGCAGCATTGCAAATAGGTACAAAATCAATACTTGATGGATTGAATTCAGTTACCTAGAATTATAGTTGCCTTTTAAAGAATTCATGTAATTTTCTTAAATTAGTATAATTTTGTCTTATTATACAGTTAATATACACACATTACATGAAAATTAGTAAGTAAAGGCAAAAGTTAAGTGCATGGAACTCTATCAAACTAAAAAGCTTCGGTAGAGCAAAAAAAAGCGACAACAAAGCAAAAAGCCAACCATCCAAATGGAAGACGATATCTGCAAACAACAGCCATGACAAGGGTTTAATACCTAATATATATAAAGAACTCATACATATCAACATAATAAAAGCAAACAATGTAACTTAAAAATAGGCAGAAAACCTGAACAAAGGCTTCTCCTAAGAAGACATATAAATGGCCAACTGATAAATGAAAACGTGTTCAACTTCACCAGCTATTAGGGAAATGCAAATCAAAACTACAATGGAACACCACCTCACATCTGTTAGAATGGCTATAATATTATCAACAAGACAAATAATAACAAGTGCTGAAAGATTGTGGAGAAAAGGAACCCTCATTCACTGGTGGTGGGAATGTAAACTGGTACAGCCACTACGGAAAACAATATGGAGGTTCCTCAAAGAATTAAGAACAGTTGTTACCACAGGACCCAGCAATCCCTCTTCTGGGTATCTACCCTAAAATTTTTGAAAATGTTTATTCATAAAGATATATGCACCCCTATGCTCATTGTAAAATTATTCATGGTGGCCAAGACATGGAAACAACCCAAGTCCTTTAATAGTCGATTGGATAAAGAAGATGTGGTACATACACATAATGGAATACAGCTCAGCCATAAGAAAAGATGAAATACTGCCATTTGCAACAACATGGATTAGCATTGAGAATATTATGCTAAGCAAAGTCAGTCAGTCAGAAGAAGCTAAGAACCATATGATTTCACTTATATGTGGGATAGAAAACTTAAAGTCATAGACACTGACAACAGTATGATGGTTACCAGAGGGAAGGGAGTGTAGGGACTAGCAAAGGGTAAAGGGGTCCAATATATGGTGACAAAAGTTGATTTAACTTTGGGTAGTAAACACACAATGCAATATACAGATCATGTATCAAAGAAATGTACAGATCACGTATCAAAGAAATGTACATGTGAAACCAATATAATCTTACTAACCAATGTCACCACAATACACTTAATTAAAAAATATATGTAAATTAACATCTGTACCTCTTTTAGGTACACTAAATATATAATAGGTTTTCTTGCTATGATAAAATATATCTTATTTGATAATACAGTTTCAAATTGCTATTGCTGGTGCAGAAATATTTTATTCATTTTGGTTGAAGAATGTTACATGCAGCAGCAACCTTATTAAACCTGTACTAAATCTGAATAAATTTGAAATCTATGCATTTTTATGTTTCTCTCAATAATATTATTTGCTACAGTTTCAATCCTTAGAGTCTCTCTCTTTTTTTAAAAATCATACTATAAGTTATAGGCTAAATTGTGTCTACCTCAGATTCACATCTGAAGTCATAACTGTCAGCACTTCAGAATATGACCGTGTTTGGAGACAAGCCTTTAAAGGGGAGTAAAATTGATTAAATGAGGTCATTACGGCGGGCTCTAATCCTATGTGACTGGTCCCTAATAAGCAGGGATTAGCACAGACACAGGTAGAGGAAAGATGTGAAGACAGCAGAGGGGGATGGCCATCTACAAGCCAAGGAGAGAGGCCTCAAAAGAAAACAAGTCTGTAACACCTTGATCTGGAACTTCCAACCTCCTGAACTATAGAAAGTAAATTTCTGCTGTGTAAGCCACCAGACTGTGTTATCTGTTATGGCAGCCCGAACAAAGTAATGCACTGCATTAGCTTACACCTACAGTCAGTGAGTAGTAGCTGTGATAGGACACACATTTGTATTATATTCTAATTTTACAGAAAATGTCTCTAAAGCTTCAAAGTTGCCTCTTTGCATCCCTCACTTATAATATTCCCTCCATCTCTCCCAGAGATAAATTTGTCTTTAATTTTATATCTATCATTTCTTAGGTATTTTCCCACCTATGAATGTATCCTTTATAGGATGGTTTCATTTCCCAAGTTTTAAAATTTATATAAATTGAATTATATTTTATGTAGTATTTTTGAATTGCTTACTTTGTCATGGTTTCTGAGATTCAGCTAGTAAAAGCATTACTATAGTTCATTTGTTTTCACTGTTAATATAATATTCACTATAGGACTATATCAAAACTAACTTGTTAAGTCTACTATTGATATTGTATCACAGTCTTTTTGGCCAACATGAACAATCTATGGCCATCCCTATCAATCTGTCCTGCATATATGAAAGTTTTTCTGGATATATACACTGGTGTGAAATTACTGTATCACAGAGCATATTCAACTGTCAGGTCACTAGGTATATATGCATGCACAGTTGTAGAACTTAAGTTCTACTGGAATATAACTGCTAGGTAAAGAATATGTGGATCTTTAGTTTTAGTAGATACAGCCAAACTGTTTTTCCAAAGTGGGTATACCAACTTACATTCACACATGATCCACATCTTCAAATGGTTCCTGGATGTGATTTAATTTCCAGAAAATATATATGCCATATTGTTCGTGTGTGTGTGTGTGTGTGTGTGTGTGTGTGTGTGTGTAAGAGAGAGAGAGAGAGAGAGAGAGAGAGAGAGAGAGAGAGAGAGAGAGAGAGAGAAAGAGAGAGAGAGAGAAAGAGAGAGAGAAAGAGAGAGAGAGAGAGAATATGAATGAATGTGTATGTATACCAAGAGCTTTAACTTACCGGTTTGGAAAGTGACTTCCATGTTTTAGCAACTATAATAAACAAATATATAAGAATTAGATAATACTTAATGTCATATATATCTAAATTCAGTAACTATCAACAACCATAACTCCTAAAACCAAGATTTTATATCTAAAAGGCAATGTTTCTCAAGATTTGGTATTTTACTTATGGTATGTTTTTGTTTCATGTACTATAAACTATAATAAATAATTTGAATAGGAAACACATTTTCCATAACCATTATCTAACTTTGGGGATTTCTAGATTTATAAAATAATTTAACTTCATGTTAAACATCCTATGGTCTTAAAAACACAAGTAATAATATTTATTAAATATTCATAGAATATAAAATATTATCATAGAGAAACTATAATTTTAAGGTGTTATCCATGCTCTCTGCTGTGTTACTATTGGTGATTATAATTAAAAGGTCAGGTCTCTCTAGGGTGAATGGGAAGGATAGGGACAAAGTAAAAGAGATGAAGGAGAGAGCAAGTAATGTGAGGTAGGGAGTCTCATCCTGTTTTCCACTCTTCTCCCCTAAAAACATTATCCTATATAAAAAAAGTCTAATAGGCTAAGTGTCCAGTCATCCGTTCAATCAATCAAAGCATTATATACTAATGATATGCTAAGGTTGCTCAACTGCTTGCTATGACATGTACGGATCATTAGGGGGCAGACAGTCGATTGTCGACCAGTTGCTATGATGTGCACTGACCACCAGGGTGCAGATGCTTTGACCGGTAGGTTGGTTTGCTGCTGGGATCCAGCCGATCAGGACTGAGCAAGATGAGCTGGACATGACCTGGAGCCCTCCTGCGATTCCCTCCCTCCCTTATCCCCCCACCTCCGGCTGGCTAATCTCCCGTGCCCCTCCCTGGCCCCAATCGTGCACCAGCAGGGTCCCTTGGACTGGCCTGTGCCCTCTCACAATCCATCCAGGACCCCTGGGGGATGTAGGAGAACTAGTTTCAGAACGATCCCACAGGCCAGGCTGAGGGACCCACTGGTGCACAAATTTGTGCACTGGACCTCTTGCAGTTGAATAAAATATGAGTGATCACTGTCTTTTTCTGATTTCACACTCTTAAAGATCTTGAAAACTATAAATCTTATGATATTGAAATAAATGTGAGTCATATTGGTTTCCTTTGCTCATATTTGAACACTGTGATATCTAAGTTCATGTTTATATACGATTGAGTCCTATTAAACAGCTGAATTATGAACTGGTAAATATTAAGTATCTTAGCTACATTACAATAATGACAACCAATAATATCCCCTTATGGCGATGTTGTTATCTACACTAATAAAAGAGAAAAATGCTAATTGACCATACCTTTGCTACACCCACAGCCAATCAGAGCAAATATGCAAATTAACCCAACAAAGATGGCGGTTGATTTGCATATGCAGAGGGAGGGAGGAGTGAAGACTGAAGACTGCCTAGAAGGAAGAGGGAAGGAAAGCGGAAAGCAAGGCAGCTGCAGGAGGGAAAGCGCAGGAGGGATGGGCGGCGGTGCATGGCGGCGGAAAAATGTGGGGTGGCAGCGGAAGGGAAAGCACGGGGCAACAGGGGCAGGAGGGAAAGCATAGGGGGAGGGTGGCAGCTGCTGGAGGGAAAGCATGGAGGGTGGGGGGGCAGCAGAGCGGGAGGAAAAGCGTGGGGTGGGAGGTAGGGAAACAGAGGCGGCAGGGAAAGCATTGGGGGGCGGGAGAGGTGGCAGTGGTGGGAGGGAAGCCTGCGAGAAGCCCTGTTCTTGCAGGAATCTTCCTGCAAAGGGCCTCTAGTTTCTATATAATTAGCCATAGTTAATGTAAACAATATATCAAATTCAAGATTTATAAGACAGGCATGTTTTTGCTATATAACTTGCTTTTTCTTAATCAATACATCATCTTAAGATCCAAAGGAAGTATGTTCTAAAATTTAGCAAACTGATTTATAGGCAGATAGATTTCTTCTCTATGTAGAAACAATATCCTTTCTTTATCCAAGATAGTTTATACAAGCATGTAATCAAGTGAATTCAGCATTTAACCTTAATTATGATACTACATACATTCACTTGTAAAGACATCCTCCTTTTCATAATGAGCAGAACAATGTAAATAATACTCTATTGGTTTTGAAATATAGCAATAAAAAAAGAAGAAAAATAAATGGCACAAAAGTACATACACATGCTCTGATGTAATGTTCAGAAGCTATTTATCAAAAGAGGAAGTTAGAAATACTCTTGAGTTTTGTAGGTTTTATGAAATCTCCGGGGTAAATTATTCACAAAAGACATATTCATTCTGCCAGATATGTCACCATGTCCAATATTATTAGCTTTTTCTTATAAAGACTAAAGAGCCATTAAGATAATTCTTCAAAGGATTTTTGGATTTTCTAAACTCTTTATTTAATATGAAGTTACTACATATATAAATACTTGGATGAAAAGGGACTTCAATTCTATTGGATATATTTTATTTCATAAAGCTATAGGCCGTTATTCATTGTATTTTTAATATTTTTATGTATATTATGTCTAATTATTTAATAATATATCTTTAAAACTAAAATAATATTTAAAGCTATATGAGAATAAATAATTACTTATTTTAGTTCTAGAAGGGAAATTCACCTTTTAGGTTTTATTTACGTAGGTCAAATAAGAAATTTTCTCAATTTCAAACACAAAATTATACTCGACAACATTCAAATATATCAATTGATATTTACTTGTACTATAATTATTGTGCAAATGTTTACACAGGATACCTTTTTTTCCTATTGATATCACCATAAAATTATATTAAGAATGTTTTAAATCATGGTTATGAATTCAAGTGATAATGATGGTGACTATATCTATTAACGTTTATTAAGCAACTAAAGGTCCGGAGCATGAAAATTCGGGGAGTCCCTTAGCCCAGCCTGCACCCTCTTGCAGTCCGTGAGCCCTCAGGGGATGTCCTACTGATGCCCCTAAGCTGCAGTCTGGCCTCCCTCTGTGAGAGGCAACCGGTTGGCTGATCAAGGAACAGCACCACCCAGTGAGCAGCCAGCCCTGCCCCCGCAATGGCCTCTCTGCTGCCACTGATCGATCGCTGTTCCCCCATCGCCGGCCCCTCCCTCTGCCCACTGGCACGTGCCTTGACTGGCCTGGCACTGCCTGCTTGCTGGCCTTACCCCCCACTGACCTGTTGTTTTTCACCTTTCGGTTGGTTTGCATATTATACTTTTATTATATATGATTATTATGTGTCAGGTATTACACTAAGTACAACTGATATATTCAATCCTCAGAAAACCTCATGAGGCTGTTATTTTTAGCTTTTTAAATGAGGAAACAAAAGATTGAATAACTTAACCAAGCTCTCACAGCTAATAAATGAATGCCAGTCTAATTTCAATATACTTTTGCTACTTTTATATCTGTGAGGCAGATTTTGCTCATACTTCATGAAAAACAACATATTACAACATTTTGAATACAAAAGCAGATATGAGAATCCAACTACCTTTATTAAATCAGATATTAAAGAAGTTTTCAGAAATGTATATACTGCCAAAAAGTTTGAGAGCCACTGCCCAGCACATGTAAAGGTGAAAATCAATCAACCTATATTTATACTGCAGGAGCCATGGCGAATATAAAAGATATTAGGCACAATTCTTGCCCAGGTCTAACTTCAAAGCCAGTCCTCTGAACTACTCTGTTTAGGCTGGATATAAAAATTGACTAGGCAGAATATAAGTTTAAAGAATACGAAGTTATAAAGAATATCAAGAGTGAAGGTGGTGATTAAGCTTAATGTACTGAGAAAGAGGGAACAACTGAAAAATTCTGAAAAGAGAAAAGATACCAATAGGAGTTTGTAAGAACTATTAGTCTGGTAACACTGTATAGCATGTCTTTTGAAATACATTACTTGGTTAGTTGTTCTGAAAAACTTTCACTGCTCCACGCTAGAGATTTAAAATAATCTTATAAATTAGTAAGTATATTTTTAAAAATATACTTACGTTTGGGCTCATCTGTTGTAACAGCCAAAATGAAATCATACGGAGTCATGAATAACTGCCCTTCACATTCTACAGAGGCAAACAAACGGAACCGCCTTTCCCGGGATGTGGCATAGAGGTCCAAGTCTTCCGGGTCCGTCCTGCCCACAGCGACCTAAAGAAGGGAAAAATCTCAGCTGTGGGAAATAATGTCCCCCGTTAGACTGCGAGGGTTTTAATTGTGCTAAAAGTGAATTAACAGAGCAAATGAAAACTTGAAAGTATTGTCTTCTGAAGAACTGAATTATTTTATAAATTAATTGCCTACATGAGTACAATGAATTAATATTTCAAAGATCCTACGATGAATGTTGTGAATGGCCTGGATATTTTAAACTGGAACTTTCAAAGACTTGTAATTTATTTCTTCAGTTTTAGTCTTAAAGAACATTACATTTCTGAGCTAACAGTTTCTCTAGAACAATGATCTTCAACCTTTTTCATCTCATGATACACATAAACTAGTTACTAAAATCTGTGGCACAACAACAACAACAAAATATATTTTTGCCTATCTGACAAAAAAAAAATAGGTAAAACTTTGATTCATTCACACCAGATGACTATTGTTCAGCTGTCATCATTTTTTTTTATGTGACAATCTAAGGGAAAAGAGGTCAGCTATTGCTTGTTTTAAAAATTCTGCGGCACAAAAGTTTAAAATCACTATTCTAAAGGTAGAATGCCTACTATGCACTCTTTATACAGGCATATTTATCTAATTAGAAACTTACTCATTGTAGTTATTAATTTTCTTTAAAAAGTGAAACCCTGATAGGGTGTTCATGCTACCACTAAGGGAACCATTTAGTGGTAGTACTTATATCAGAACTACAGTTGCTAACTCTAAATCACTATAGTATAGTTACTACCAACAGTCATTCTGAATTTTCTCTGGGGTTAAGATGAACAGAATTAAAAGTATGTAGCAGGGGAAGGAAGTCTCTTCTGTTTTCCTTAATTTTCAGTCTTTACCCTGTATATAAATAATTGTCCACTGTTATTTATTTTCTCTGAACTAACTATAACAAATTAATTTTTTAACAGAAAGATTACTTTCCTGATTATAAAAGTGACATAATTATTGTATATAATTTAGAAGACAGAACTTCAGAAATTTATAGATATAATTTTTTTTGGAAAAATAAAAGGGATTATACTATACTGTTCAGTAACTGATCTTCTTAACTTATAATATTACTATTCTAGAGGCCCAATCATGAAATTTGTGCAAGGGGCTTGGCCCTCGCAGCTGCAGTGGCTTGCCTCGGCCCTCATAGCCCTGGTTTTGTCTGGAAGGTGGTCCGGAAGGTCATTCGGTTGTCTGGTCTAATTAGCATATTACACTTTTATTATTATAGATGAGGGCCATTTTCCAAGTCATTAAATAGTTCAGTAGATCATTTTTATTAAATGTATAATACTTCATAGTAAATTAGTAATAACCTTCCTGCAGCATAGGATTTGCATTCATAGAAAAAAAAAAGGTAAATTGACAATAATCTCTGAATTCTAGAATAAAGCACTGGAATTTAATCTGACAGAAAACAAATGGCTTTAGGGAGATTATTGAAATAGTGCTTCAGAGAGATAAAGCAACCTGGTACTAGAGGCAAGTAGATCAGCAGTATATTAATAACAGTGCTCAGGTAAGCCATAGGAATTTGGAAATTATTTTTGCTTTGCCAAGGGTGAGAAGTGAGACAATGAACAACTCAGTATCAAGAATGGGCAGTGACCTCCCTGAACGCTCTCAGGGATCAGTCTACTATCCTAAGTCCCCTTTACCCTTATCTCCCAGGGCAGGGAACCCAGTCTTGTCTCTGACCACAAATTACATCCCTGCTGCTTCTTGCTAGGCCCTTCCCTTAGGCCTCCGTGGGCCCAGACACTCCTTCTCCAGTGAATTTCCTGGAGGACCTCTCCCCGTGAAGCTGTTTTGCACCAGCATCTGAAGCCATGCCTCAGTCTAACATCCTGAACCACAATTTTTGCCTATAATGTCTATGTTCGCTATAGCCTAATATGGGCTCATGACTGCCTGTGTTTTCTCACTTAGGCTCAGTCTACCATGTGTCCCAGCACGTCAAACCTGGACCACTGCAGCTGGTAATATGATCCCCCTTCTAGGAACTAATGCAGGCAACTCTTCCTCCTCCTTCACTTCTAACAATCAATTAGCAAATCTTGTTGTTCTCCCTTTTCAAACATGCTCTTCTTCCCTAAAATTTTACAGTAATGGCCTGTGATTTTTTTTTTTTTTTTTTTTTTTGCCTCTAACCCACCCAAAGAAAGAGAAAATGGCCAGAACTGTAGAATAATATTGATTCTTTAACTACCTAAGAATGGTAGAAGAAATCTACAAAGTAGAGTTAAGGGTTTTCATTAAAACTTTTCTGCCTTAATTCGACACATTACGTCCTCAGCAAAACCATCATTTTTGGTAACAGCATTAAGTGACCACAGGTCAATTTAGCTCCACCTTAAAAGAAGGCCTGGGGAAGAATTTGGAAATGGTTTGTTTCCCAGATTAAAAGGAAAGCATATGATCCTATATAATAAAAGCCTAATATGCTAATTATCCGGTCATCCAGTCATCTGTTCAACCAATCAAAGCATAATATGCTAAAGATATGCTAAGGCCGCTCAACCACTCGCTATGATGTGCACTGACGACCAGGGGGCAGACAATCCCACTGGTAGTTTAGCTGCTGCTGGGGCCCGGCCGACTGGACTGAGAGAGAAGGGCCGGACATGCCCTGGAGCTCTCCCCCGGCCCCTCCCTGGTTAGCCAACCTCTTGCATCCCTCCCTGGCTGCAATTGTGCACCAGTGGGGTCCCTCGACCTGATCTGCACCCTTTCGTAATCCAGGACCCCTTGGGGGATGTTGGAGAGCTTAAAAGGACTTTCTGCTGCAGATTTCTTGCTTCCTCCAATGCTCAATTTAGTGTAATATATCACGTCTACATATCTATCCTATAAAGAGGTTATATGCAAATTGATCATCACTCCAACATACAAGATGGCCAGCAGGGGAGGGCAGTTGAGGGTGACCAGGTTGGCAGAGGAGGGCAGTTGGGGCAACCAGGTCAGCAGGAGAAGGCAGTTGGGGGCGATCAATCTGGCCTTTGTCTGTGGGAGGTGACTGGGCTGATCAGGCAAAGGCATCAGCCCCATCACCCCGCTGCTGCTGCCACTACTAGCCACCACAGCTGCCAAAGTGTTTTCATCAACATGGACTCCAGTCCCTTCACCATGGAAAAATGACAACTTTTTTTTAGGCATCTTTAAGATGTGTCTTTCATAGGATATAACATTTCTTTCTTTCTCTTTTATCCTCACCTAAGGATATGTTTCCACTGATTTTTAGAGAGCTTGGAAGAGGAAAGATAGAAAGAAACATCAATGTGAGAGAAACACTTTGGTTGGTTGCCTCCTGCATGAACCTTGATTTGGACCCCAGCTAGGGAAGAGCCTGCCACCTAGGTGTATATACCCTACATCAGAATCAAAACCGGCCCTGTGGTCAGCAAGCCAAAGCTCTATCCACTGAAGCAAACTGGCTAGGGTAGGATATAACATTTCTTAGCCCCTCCAGCAGTGGACCTTAGTTTTTTCCTCCAGAAGTGTGGTGGAAAAACTCTTGATCATCTTATTGGATTCTTATTACCCAAGTTTCCAAGGACACTGTGAGTGGTGGCATACAGGAAGCATAGCCAATGAGCAGTCAGAAAAGGTGATTTCTCTGCAGCTCATGCGCAGAGACTCCCCTGTGTTATGTCCACTGGGGTGGGGGTGTGCTCCAAGCCCCATGGTGGCTGCCAGGAGCATGCCCCCAGCCCTGTGTTGTGTCTGCTGGGCTGGGAGCATGCTGCTTGCCCAGATGCCTGCCCTCCCTTCATGCCTGGGATGTGAAACACTGGCCTCATTGATGGGATGACGATGCCAGCATCCTGCCCTGGTCGCTATGGGCGCCGCCATCTTTGTGACGGAGTGATGGTTAATTTGCATATTACCCTTTTAAAAAATATGTATTTTATTGATTTTTTTACAGAGACAAAGGGAGAGGGATAGAGAGCTAGAAACATTGACGAGAGAGAAACATTGATCTGCTGCCTCCTGCACCCCCCCACACAGGGGATGTGCCCACAACCAAGGTACATGTCCTTGACTGGAATCGAATCCGGGACCCTTGAGTCCACAAGCTCTATCCACTGAGCCAAACCAGTTTTGGCAACCTTTCTTTTAGATTAGATGAAATAGGGAAAGCCAGAAAGAGGTGAATACAACTTTTCAAATTTGAATGAAGACTGGGAGTTACAACATAGAAAAGGTCCTAGGTTATTGTTGGAGAAAAAGGCAAACAAACATAATTTGAAAGAAGCTCAAATTCGGTAGATTACCCTTTGGCTACAAGGAAAATTGCAGGAGCAGCAGCAGTGGAGGGGACAGAAGCCAGAACAGAAAGGTATAGAAGAGATAGCATATATGATTTATTTGACTCAATCCTGAACCAAGTACAAGACTCAAACTATGGATCTCAACCAGGGATACAGGTATACCCAGAGGTTCAAGCAACAGGCAAATTGGCTTAAATCCATTATTCAAAGAAGAGATGAGTAGATCACATCAAGAGGAACCTGAGTTCAGAAAGAGCTGTTGTCCATTGGATATTGGCATCAAGTCACTGGGGTATCAGACAGGAATCCATAAGACTGGGGCTAAATCACAGGATCGGTTACATTAACAATGTCAAAAGTGGCCAATTGCCAATTAATCTTAAATTTATATTCTCCTATTGGTCTTAGTGTCTGTCTATGTAGAGGTTGACCTTACAGGTGGATGGATGGTCAGCTGAATTCTCATACAAGGAGAATACAGATCAGTCCAGCTGACAAACTTAATTCACCATTATAAAAAAAAACAACCACTTTCCTCCATCATCAGATGAATGGATAAAAATGTGATAGATGCGCGCACACACTATCCTATATAATAAAGAGCTAACATGCTAATTAGACCGAACAGCAGAATAACTGCGGACGACCATCTGGGTGACCTTCTGGATGAAGCCAGGGCTGCAAAGGCCGAGCCCCTTGAATGAATTTCGTGCA